GAGTTCAAGCCCCACATTGGATGTGGAGATTACTTAAAAATAATTTTTTTAAAGTGCAGCAGCTGAGGTGTATGTCTATTTTTCTGAAAGAAGGCATAGTTTTTGTGAATTTTTCAATGGAGTCTTTGTTCCCCCCCACCCCAGCCCAAAAGTTCGTAACTTCTTGATTCATTCATTTCTCTATCTTTGGTTTTATTTTCCCCAAACTCCTCCCTATATATTTTTCTTTTTAATTTTTTAAATGTTTTATTTATTTTTTTTCCTTAAAAATTTTAAATGTTTATTTATTTTTGTGGCAGAGAGAGACAGAGCATGAGCAGGGGAGGGGCGGAGAGAGAGACACACACACAGAATCTGAAGTAGGTTCCAGGCTCTGAGCTGTCAGCACAGAGCCCGATGCGGGGCTCGAACCCATGAATCACGAGATCATAACCTGAGCTGAAGTCAGACGCTTAACTGACTGAGCCACCCAGGCGCCCCTTATTTATTTCTGAGAGAGAGAGAGACAGCGTGAGCAGGAAAGGGTCAGAGAGACAGGGAGACACAGAATCTGAAGGAGGCTTCAGGCTCTGAGCTGTCAGCATAGAGGCCGACGCGGGGCTCAAACCCATGAACCGTGAGATCATGACATGAGCCAAAGTCGGAAGCTTAACCAACTGAGCCACCCAGGAGTCCCTTCCTCCCTATATCTTGCGCACTGCCATTAATTAGATGACTAGATTGTCAATGCTTTAATTCTGTTGCTGATAAAAATGTGAGACTAACCTCCCTTCACCTAAAGAAGACTTGAGTGCCTCCTTGGCTGCCTGCCTCCAAGATAAAAATCAAACACTTTGGCCCAATGGCTGAGACTTTAAGTAACCAAACCCAGGACATTTTACCAGGACCTCTCTTCCATTTTTCTCCGACTTGAATCTTCTGTCCAGTCAAACTGAAGTCTCGTACCCTCTACAGCTTCTGTTCTGACACCTCTCAGCAGCTCCTCCAACAACAGTGTGTTACGTTCCTGATCTAAGCCAGGACTTCGCCCAGGGCTGAGAATACAGGAATGGCTACAACACAGGCCTTCCTTTTGAGAAACTGGCTGATTTAGGAGACATACGTGAAAACAAAATCCCCACAAGAAGGGATGACAAACTTGTGGGAGTTATTCCCACTTAGAGGTAAAGGGGGGGGGGGAGAGCCCATACAAAGCAGACTTTCTCTAAGCTAAACTTTTACCTGTACTCTTTATGTGTTTCTTTTCCAACAAGCATGTCTTAATTTTGTAAAAATTTGAAAAAAGCTCTTATCAGGTAAAGACTATGATTAATTCAATTCTGAGCACCTGAGTGCCAAGGGGGAAAAAACTGTAACTGTCCAAGAATTAGTAAAATTAGGGGTGCCTGGCTGGGTCAGTCTGTGGCGTGTGTGGCTCTTGACCTCAGGGTTGTGAGTTCGAGTCCCACGCTGCGGGTAGAGATTGCCTACATAAATAAAAACAAACAAAAACAAAACAAAATCAGTAGAATTAATAAGGAAAGGACAATCGGCCAGTAGAAAAACAGGCAAAATAGGCATTTCCCAGAAGATGAAACATTTATGGTCAAGAAATACATGAAGACAGGTTCAATCTCATGAATCGTCAAGAAGTACAAATTGAGAGCTCAGTGAGATTCCATCTAATATCCACTTGAGGGGTGAAAAGGAAGAAATCTGATAAGCCCATATTGGCAAGGATGTATGTGGAGGATGTGGGCTCCCATGTATGAGGTTGAAACTGTGAATCGGGGGGCTCCTGGGTGGCTCAGTCAGTTAAGTGTCCGACTTCAGCTCAGATCATGATCTCACGGTTTGTGGGTTCGAGCCCCGTGTTGGGCTCTGTGCTGACACCTAGCTTGGAGCCTGGAGCCTGCTTCAGATTCTGTGTCTCCTCTCTCTCTGACCCTCCCCTGCTCATGCTGTCTCTCTCTCTCTCTCAGAAGTAAATAAAACATTAAAAAAAATAAAATAAAAAAGAAACTGTGAATCGGTAAAAAGCACTTTGCTAAACAGCTTGGAATTACGCTGTGGATTGACAGTGGGCGTAGCCTTTGGCCCAGTGATCCTGCTCCTATATAAATCCACAAGAGAAATCCCTGCACTTGTGCGCCCGCGGGTTCGACACACATTTTCTTAGCAGCACTTTTGCAAAGGCAAAACCCCGCAATGGGGCGAACGCCCGTTACCAGGACATTGGTTGTATTAGTTTGAGTTCCTCAAGAGCAGAGACTGGGCCGAGGACTCGGGTGCAGGTTGTCTGTTTGGGAAGTGATCTCAGGCGGTGGGAGTGAAGGGGGGAAGGGTGAGGCAGAGCAGGAAGCGAGGCCCACACGGGATACGAGATTCCACAGATGCCTCTGAGAGGCGGACAGAGTGCCTCCCAGAGTTGTTCATCTGAACCATGGGACCCTGGGGCATCTATCCCTTGGCTCCTGTCCCCGTTGGTGGAGGGTTAACTCTCCTTACTTCAGGCTGTGCCTGTGGGGCTGCCCAGAAGTTTCCTGTGACAGAGAAGGTCCGGAAGCAGAAACTGGAGAAGCCCAGGGCCTAATGCTTGCATCAGGAATCATGAGTATTGGGAGCTCTCATGAAACTAGCTGCGCGTATTTGCCTAAAACCTGAGGTGGGCCAAGGGGAAGAACACAGGGTGCTGAGAGCCTCTGCTTAGAGGGGCAAAGTCATATTAGTGTATTCACACTCTAGAACAATCTACAGTGGCCGCAATATAAACTCGGCTACGTGTAGCATGCCCAAGGTAAATCCTAACAATGTAACTCGGAAAGTAAAAAAGAAGTCCCAGGATATCTGTAGGAAACAATACTCTTTAATAAAGAAACCAGTGAGGGGCACCCGGGTGGCTCAGTCTATTGAGCGTCAGTCTTCGGCTCAGGTCAGGATCTCATGGTTTGTGGGTTCAAGGACTGCAGTGGGCTCTGTGCTGACAGCTCAGAGCCTGAGCCTGCTTTGGATTCTCCATCTCCCTTGCTTTCTGCCCCTTCCTTGATCACGCTCTGTCTCTCACTCAAAATAAATAAACATTTTTAAAAATTAAAAAAAAGAAAATGACTAAAATGCCTGTTTTGAGAATATGTATGCAGGATCACATACACAAATATATACTTAAGTGTTTATGTAAATTCATAGACATATATTAATTTCTAGAAACTAAACTTTTTCTGTGTACTTGAATTCTAAGGGGAAAAAAGTGCAAAGGATTATTAAAAGAACACATAAAGAAATCCTGAAAGTTAATAAGAAAAGGATAAAACAACCCATAGAAAATGGGCAAAAAAGTATGAACAGATATTTCACAAGAGGAAATATTTATAGCTGATAAATATACATAAACACATTCAATCTCAACTTTTTAAAAAACATTTTTAATGTTTATTTATTTTTGAAGGGGGGGAGGGGCAGAGAGAGAGGGACAGAGGATCCAAAGCTGGCTCTGTGTTGACAACAAGGAGCCTGAGGCGGGGCTGAGGCCATGAGATCGTGACCCGAGCTGAAGTCAGATGCTTAACTGATTGAGTCACCCAGGCGCTCCTCAACATTAAAAAAAAAGCAAGACTTTTCAACTTTAAATTTTTATAAAGCTGGGGTAATTTCTTAAATTGAAGTACAGCTGACACACAGTGTTCAATTAGTTGCAGGTGTACAACATAGTGATTCAACAACCCTATACTATGCTACACTCACGAGTGTAGCTACCATCTGTCACCACACAAGGCTGTTACAATACCATCGACTATGTTCCTTATGCTGTACCTTTCATCCCCCATGACTTATTCATCCCATAACTGAAAACCTGGACCCCCCTCTCCCCTTCTCCTCCTTTGCCCATCCCCTCCCCACTCCCTGCTAACAACCACCAGTTCATCCTCTGTATTTATAGATGTTTCTGCTTCTTGTTTGCTCATATATATTTTTAGATTCCATGTATACATGATATCAAAGCCAGGGAAATTTTTTAAATTAATTTTTAGGGGAGCCTGGGTGGCTCAGTCGGTTAGGCATCCGACTTTGGCTCAGGTCATGATCTCACGGTTCATGGGTTCGAGCCCCGTGTCGGCCTCTATGCTGACAGCTCAGAGCCTGGAGCCTCCTTCAGATTCTGTGTCTCCCTCTCTCTCTGCCCAACCCTCCCCTGCTTGCACTGTCTCTCTCTGACTCTCAAAAATAAATAAAAAACATTAAAAATTTTAAATTAATTTTTAATGACATATTTATTTTCTAGATAAAAATATATTTAGGAGCAGGAAAATAATAAACACAAGATTATGCATTGGGTTTGGGAGGGGATACGTGTAAAGTGGTCAATTCTAATTTTTAGAGTGGATGATTAGTAACAAAAGAGGGTCACACATAAGCAAATGAATGGGTTCTGACCCATGGATTATATTAGGCCAATTCTGTACATCTTGAAGTCTAAGAAATAAGGTTATATGGTATAAGAAGTATATTCTTAGGTACACATAAGATACACTGATAACATGAAGGAGGGAGCTGGGAGATAATGCCCTCACACCTGGGAAGGTCAGGGAAGTTTGACCAAAGATGTGACAGTGAATGGGTTTAATAGAATCAGGACAGTGTTGCCAAATTTGGGAGAAGATGGAGGGCATGGCAGTGTGTTTTAAGTGGAAAGAGCAGCATGCACTAAGATATGGGAACAAGAGACAGTTCGGTGTGGCCAACAAACTGCAGATGATTAGCGTGGGTATAAAAGGAGAGAGGGAGAGATAGAGGCATGGGATGGACCAAGAAGATTCAAAAAGGTCCATCGTGAGGAGGTTGGACAGTATCCCAGGGGCGCCTGGGTGGCTCAGTCGGTTAAGCATCTGACTTCGGCTCAGGTCATGATCTCACGGTTCATGCGTTCGAGCCCCCCGTCGGGCTCTGTGCCAACAGCTAGCTCAGAGCCTGGAGCCTGTTTCAGATTCTATGTCTCCCTCTCTCTCTGACCATCCCCTGCTCATGCTCTCTCTCTCTCAGAAATAAATGAAAAAAAAATTAAAAAAAAAAAGACAGTATTCCACATAGTAAGCCATCGGTAGCTTTGGAAGGTTTTAAGCAGGATAAGGATGTGATTCATTTCAGGAAGATTCTTACCGCAGAGTGGAGAACTGGTTGGAAGGTGCTGGGACAGAAAGGTATCATGATCTTTGTCCAGGTGACAGATGGACACGGCTTAATAAACTCAAGAGCTCTGGTGTGTGTGGTCTAAACCAAGAGGTTTTTAAGATATGGAACAGGCAGAATTTTATTTCCCTGCTCTCCCATGTTTTTCTTTATAACACTTATCACCCTTGACATATTTACTTATCTATGGTCTGTCTCCCCCCACCAGGATGTAAACTGCAGAGAGCAAGGATGTTAATTTTGTTCCCTCCTCAATCCCCAGGGCCTAACGGTTCCTGGCACATGATAAGTTCTAAACAATTATTTGTTGAAGCCATGCAGTTTGGCTAGGAAGGAGAAATATAGGGTAATAGCCAATATGGCAAGAATTTCCAGCGCTCTAGTCTAATTTAGCTCCTGTCTCTCCTATTAATCTCTTCCAGAGCTCAGTCTCCAGCAAAGTATTTGGCAAATAAAATACAATAAAATGTGCCTGCTGCTACCTCTCATTCTTGTCTCAGTCTGAGTTAACAATCTTTTCTCTTTCATCCATCTACCCTTCCCGCTCTCCAGCTACCTCTACTTTTTATCTCTGGAAACCCTGGTTTTCCGGGTTCCCTTAAGATCCTTGGCCATATGCTTAGACAGTTACGTTATTATATGATCACATACCTGCTAGATATTCTGCCTTCGTCCTTCCAGATCTACCCTTCATCATTTTTCAGAGGCTGGCCTTGATAAACAATGTCATCTGGGCTCGCTTGCCCTTAGGCTTCCTCTTGGGTTCAGCCAGTGGGAAGTAGCACAGGAGATCTGAGGGCAAGAGAGAGACAGGGGCAGGGCTGTGTTCCTGTAAGTTCCTAATGGCTTTCCCTTTTCATCAGCTATTGTTCTCACTTAGCACTGGGGTCCATCTCTTTTGCTAGTCCTGGGGTACTTCATTATCCCTCGCTGGCTTCCCTCAATCCCGCCCCCATCTTTGCACACTGTCCCTTCATTAACTCTCTTCAGTTACACATTTTTGAACAGGCCATCTGTTTCCTGCTGATCTTGGCTGATACAAAGGCAAAAAATACAGAATTGTATCTTTTTTTTTAAAAAAGTTGAGATATGATTCACAAAATTCACCCAGTTAAAGTACACAATTCAGTTTCAGGTTCTTAGTATAGTAGAACAAATTGTATCTTTTCCCAAATAATATGTAATTAAATGTTTTCCAAGTTATCCCTTTCTGTTTACTTAGTGGTAAGTTATACAATGTTACACACTGTAAGTTTCTCCAACTTTCAGTATCACAAAAAGACAGTAGCCCATATTGTGAGCGTGGACCGTCTCTTTGGGGATTACCTCCCAAGGAAAAGTTTCTAGGAGTGGTATCGATGAATCAAAATGGAACCATGTCTCTTTTAAAGCTCTTCAGGAGTAATGTCAATTGCTTCTTGAAAGGATTATACCAACTCACATTGCCACAGCCTTTTCTGAATACCAACTGCATCATCTTATTAGCACTGGAAAGTGTTTAAGATACATATATTTTGCTAATGCAGTATGTGATGTTACCATTTGAATTTCTTTGATAGCCATCCCAACCCTAAACCATTTACAACTATGTTTAGGCAAATGGGAATGGAGGGACAGTGATTTTGAGGGGATTATAAAGTGGATAAATGACGGAAGGAGAATGTTAAGATATATGCATGTAGAGTCGGTCACACTAGTCTATGAGCATTAATGGCTCTTAATGGACTCTCTGGAATCAACACTTTCCATTCCCTCCAATTAAACGTATTGACTACTACCTATGACCTGCTGAATGCTTTGGACTAAGGAGTTCATCTCTGGAATTCTGACACAATTCTTCCTATTAGTTGAGTTAGATGCCTAACAGGCATCTGTTGTGTTTGGTGCCAAACCTGCTTATGCCAGAGTATAATTAATTTAAGTTACACAAACTGATGAAACATAAGTGTGAAAAGAAAGAGTTGTTTCTATGAAATGTCAGTTGAATGTTTTAGCTGAAGACCAGTTGAAAACTGTCAAACCAGCTGTGGGTGAGACAATTACAAAGGATTTTTTTTTTTTTAGAAGAAGAAGCCTCCACTTACATTGCTTTTCAAGATGTTTTAAGTCTTTAGTCAATCTTAACTTTTTTTCATATTTATTTATTTTTGAGGGAGAGAGAGAGAGAGAGTGGTGGGGAGGGGCAGAGAGAGAGAGAGAGACACTGAATCTGAAGCAGATTCCAGGGTCTGAGTTGTCAGCACAGAGCCCAATGTGGGGTTTGAACCCACAAACTGCCAGATCATGACCTGAGCGGAAGTCAGATGCTTAATAGATCCGAGTCACCCAGGCATCCCAAGTCCTTAATCAACTTTAAAGAAACAATTTGGAAAGCAGAGGAAATATATCATGGATCGGTTTTATGTAAGATAGGGCTCAAGAAAACTCTAATCAGCACTCTTTCTCAAAGAAAAGGTTTGGCTCACATCAAAAGATTGGCAAATGGGAGTTCCTTTTGGTTTTAAGTGAAAAGGAAATGTTAAGGCATGTATTTGCCATTTTTAAAATAATGATCTGTGTTAATATACTTTTCCATTCAACTGCCAAACTAATGAGTCACATCCAATTTGTTTGGGCGGGGATAAATCCTTAGTCCCCAGCTTTGTTTGTTTGCTTGTTTTCATAGGAGGTCAGGTAGGAGAGAATTTATCCTGGGTCTTTCAGAAGGAGCGACTTACCTAGTTGGTGAATTTGGATCCGTCTGCCCTCAGAGAGTGCCATCTTCTCTAATCAGACACAGTTAAAGTGGCTAGGCCCCCTCGAGGTGAAGGTTGGACTTTTGGAGGAGATAATTTTAATTCAGGGAATATTAAAGAGCCTATAGGTCATCAGGAAAGCCACATTCTTCAGTTCAGCTCCATTGGTGATGGAGTTATTTTCATCTTCTCACTGGTTCTGGATGTAGAAGAAAGGGGTGGTACTTATTGTCTCTATCATAATCCGACAGTGGTGGGTAAGACGGCTTCTATGTACTTTCACAATCAAGACACATTTTTTTTCCCTCCGTTCATTGTAGTCTGTGATTCTGCTCATTCAAATGAAAAGTTGTCTCTGGTTAACAGGATAGTCTGGCCTTGTCTGAACTTCAATCTGTTATCTCAGGCTAGACAAAGAAGAACACATTTATGGCTCCTGAGAAATGTTGATATCAGGAAATATTTACTAAGAAGGGAAGAGGAATCCAAACATGGCTTGTGCCAATCTTTCTATCCCCACCCCCACCACATCCTGAGAGTCTTGCCTGTCCTGTTGACTTCTGGGACATGTAAACATGGCAAACTTAAGGTTACAGTCTGTATGGCTATTTAAATGAGAACTGCAAACATAGCAGGGAATAGTCTAGCCTTTTTAAAAAATTTTTTTAATATTTATTTTTGAGAGAGTGAGAGAGCGAGCGAGCATGAACGGGGGAGGGGCAGAGAGAGAGAGAGGGCGACACAGAATCTGAAGCAGACTCCAGGCTTTGTGCTGGAGCTCGAACTCACGACCCATGAGATCATGACCTGAGCTGAAGTCGGATGCCACCCAGGTGCCCCAGTCTAGCCTCTTTTCAATGTCCTATGAAGCATTTTGTAACCCTATAGTGGGTTATAAAATCAATGAAGTAGTTCTGAGCGGTATTTCAAAAGAAATAAAAACAATCAAATTCAAAGTGCCAACAGTGCATAAAATAATGCTTCATGAAACTTCTGTCTCAGAGGTGTGTGAATTTGTCTACACGTGTGTGTATATTCTGGGTTGAGATGTGCCATATATTTCGTATAGAGGGTCACAGTCACAAAAGTTGGCAAAGACTATTATTCAGCAATATAAACAGTAAATCCTGCCATTTGTGACAACATGGATGGACCTTGAGGACATTATGCTAAGTGAAATAAACCAGAGAAAAAGATAAATACTATATGATCTCCCTTATCTGTGGGACTCATAGAAAGTTGTAAAAAACTTTTTTTTTTTTTTTAAAGCTCTGGTTTAAGGTGCACATTTCTTCCTTTCAAGTTTGCTCTTTGCTAATCTGTTCTCTCTGAAACTCTGGCACCTTGTGAATAAAAATTGTAGTAATTAACAGGCAGAGGAGCGAGGGCCAATTCTCACTCTGTAAGCAGCTGGAATGCAAAAGCTGTTGCCTTTGCCTCACTGCTCTGAGTCAATCACATGCCCAAATATCATTACGATGGAAGGGCTGAGATCCAGAACCTCATTAAGAGGTTACAGGAAAATTTACTTTGAAATTTATTACCTGCATAGCTCAGGCTCCTGTGGTTCTTCCCAGCCACAAACTACAAAGGGTCCAGCTTGGCATTCAGGACTCCGGTCCCATCTTATTTTTCCAGACTGGGTCTTCCACTTTTCTCCCCCCTCGAGTCCTATGCTTCAACCAAACTGACCTGCTGGTGTCCTCTGACCATTTCATCCATTTCTCATTTTGTGTCCCTCCTGCCTAAGGCAGCCTCCCCAACTAGCCCTTCTCTGCTGACCTAAGTCCCTTCCATCCTTCAGAGATCCATTTCCAATTTCCTTTCTTGATTCCTTTTATTTATTTATTTTTTAAAAAGTAGGCTCCATGCCCAAGGTGGGGCTTGAACTCATGACCCTGAGACTGATAGTCACATGCTCTACTGATTGAGCTACCCAGGCACCCCTCCTTTCTTGATTCCTAATATCTCTTTTCAACTCCGCAAAGATCTTTAAAAATATATATACCTTTCTTAAAAATACTTTAAAATATCATTTTTTTCTGATCTAAAGAGGAATATTAATGTACTGTAAAAATAAGAAAATGAAGATGTCACAGAAGAAAATAAAAATACCATTTTTCCTAGGCATGATATCTATATGTGATATGCATAATATGTGTATATATTACAAGCTAGTATTATCTTATGATGTGCTTTTCAATTTTAGATATATCCCGTGTCATTAAGCTTTTTCTTCAACATGATTTTTAATGGCTACAAATAAACCTCACTTTATTTAACAGTCACATAACACTGGGTACTTTGTTTTCACATATGGTGCTATATTTGGGGGGAATATAGATGGGGTGGCATCCAGGCCATCGTGACAGAGTTCTTAAAAGAGCACGATAGAATACTGGGAATAGAAAATTGGGGCCCATAGGATAATTATGAGAAATGTAAATTAAGAGAAGTAATTGGAGCCCATAGGATAATTAGGAGAATTGAAAATGTTGGCAGGTATGCCGGGTTTCCCACTTTGAGAGGAATGAGGGCTTGAGCCAATTGCACTTAAGTTTGAAAGGGCGGTGACCTCAGGAGGCCTGTGGATGGCTTTAGGGTCATCTAGGCGGCTGATGCGCAGAATCACGTAGGGCTCAACAGGTCTCCTCCCCTGGATGCATATTTCTCATTATGCATCCTTTAAATCTTGCAGGATGAGGTGTGTCTCTTCTCTGATTTCATCCTCCCCTCCACCGCCCCTTCCTCAATTTCCTTTTCTGAGATCTTGCACCCTTAATAAGATCCCGGCTCTTATTTTCTCCGCTCAGCTCTTTTATTTGAGAGCTCCATCTCGGGGGTGGGGGTAGGGGGCAGACATCACCTGTCTCCTTTACTCTTACTCCTCCTTGAGCTACGGGCCTCTCCGGCTCCCCGCCAAACGTCTGGAAAGACCACTCTTTCTCTACTGCTTTCATCGTTCGCCGCCACGTCTCCTTATCCAAGTGCTCAGCTCGGTGCCTGGCGCGCAGCGGGCCCCCGGCTCAAAGTTCGTTCGGCCGCTCTTGCAAACCGGCATCTCTTTCCTGGTTCTTCGGAAGGAACTTCTCCGTGGTCAGCAGCGGGGGGCCGCGGTCGGAGGCACCGGGGGCTCGCGTCTGCGCCCCCACACCCTGACCTAGCCGCCACCTTAATGCGGCCCGTTGCCAGGTGCGCTGGGCTCAGAGAAGGTCCCGCCGGCCACCCGCCCGGCCTTCCGCCCGCTTCTCCCGGGCCTCACCTCGCGCAGCCCGGGCTCCCCCGCCACGCAGCCAGCTCCCAGTTCTAGCCCCCGCGGCGCCCGGCTGGCCGCCCTCCGCGCTGCCCTCCCTGCGGCGGCCCGTCAGCGTGCCCCCCGCCCCCAGGCCCGCCAGCAGGTCCCCAAGGCCCGCGGACATCTGCGGCGCACCCGCCACGCGCCGGGCCCGCGCGCGTCTGCCTCCCTGCGCTGGGCAGCCTCTCGCTAGGCCCCGCTACGCGCCAGACCCAAGTGACCAGGACGCCGCCCCGGATCCGGAGGCGCGGGCCGTCCGCTGGGGCGACACGGCCGCGGAGGCAGCCCGGGTCCCTCTAGCGGGAGACGGCGGCCCCTGCCCCAGGCCCCCGCCGGGGAGGCGCGGCGGACGCCGAGAGGCCCAGGGCGCGGGGAGCCGCCTCCCGGCTGCTCGGCGGGGCGGGCGGGGCCCGGCCGGGGCGCGCGGGGTCGGGGGGTCCAGCCCCGCTTGGCGCCGCCCCCCCCCCCACGCCCCGCCCGCCCCGCCGCCGCAGCCCTCGGGCCCGCGCGGCGCAGCCCGCCTCAGGCGGGAGCGCGAGGCGGGAGCGGGAGGCCGGAGGCCGGGCCCAGGCCGGGGCAGCCCCTCAGCCGCGCCGCCCTGGGCCGGCGCCCAGGTCCGAGTCGCCTTCCGCCTGCTTCCCGCCCCCCCCCACCCCCTCGACTCTCTCCCCCCCCCCCCCCCCCCGCCCGCGGCCCCAGCCGGGTCCCGCCGCCAGGCCGGCTCCCGCCCCCGCTCCGCCCCCGGAGCCGCAGCCCCGCCCGCCACCGCCGTCGCCATGTTGTGGCTCCCGCAGCCGGCGCTGGCGACGCGCGCGGCCGAGCCCGGGGCCTGCAGCCGCCGCCGCCGCCAGGTAAGCGCCCCCCGCGGGCCGGGCCGGGCGGGGAGCCTGCGGGCCGGGGCCGCCGCCGCCGCCGCCGCCGAGGCCGCCCCAGCCCGCGCCCGGGGCCGCGCCGAGCCGGGGCCGAGCCCGCGCCCGCGCCGCGGCCCTGCAGCCGGGCGGACCCTGCGCGCCGCCGGAGGCGAGGCAGGCAGCCACTTCCCCCGACCGCCGCCTGGCGGGCCGCGGCCGCCACCCCACCCCGCCCCCGGCCGGCGGGCCGCCTGCCCCCTGCCGCCGCCGCCGCCCCGGGCACGCCGCTGTCCTCCCCTGCGCGGGCCGGGCGGCCGCCCTCGCCCGCAGCCCGCGGCCCCCCGCCCGGGCGCGGATAACGGTGCCGCCTCACCCCGCCGGGACGCCCTGTCAGCCCTTCCGTCCCCGCCGCGCCGAAGCTGGCGCCGTCCTGGGGCGGACGCCTCGGGGATCGAGCCTCCGGGCCGCCCCGCACTCCCCCCACCTCCGCCCAAGTTCTGACCCCCCGGGGAGGCTTCTCCGGGAGCGGACAGGTATTCCTGTTCCAGAGTTGGGGGTCCTCAGGGGGCGCCCAGGCCTGTTGATCAGGGTGGAAATTATGTCTCTGCAGGGGCTCTTCCTGCCAAACCTGGGTGTGTGTGTGTGTGTGTGTGTGTGTGTGTGTGTGTGTGTGTTGGGGGCGGGGGGGAGGCTCAATGTGACCCTAGGGAGGACAGGGGAGCGTCAGCTGGACAGATGGCCTCCTGGCCTCGGATCAGCGTGTGTGAGGGGGAGGGGTCCGCACGACCTTAGGTATGCCTGTGCCTGAGAACCCCAGGATTATCGGAGCTGCTCAGGGATTTTTAACTTTTTCTTGTTTTGAGTAGGCCAGAGGTGGCATTAAAAGTCCTGGACTGGAATAAGTCCACAGGCCTACCCAAGGAAGGGTGTCTGGCACCCAGGACTAGCCTAGAATGGGAGTGGCAGGAGGGGCATGGGACTTGGGGGTGAGGTGGGTACTGGGCCTGGCCCCCTGGCCTTCAGCTCCGTGTTCAGGAACGGCCCGTGGGGTGCATCTGCTGGTGTGTACAGTGTGACTGAGCACAGGATGTGGACAGGCAGATGCCTGGCCTGGTGGGGGCTTGCTGGGATTTCATGGGTCTGTTTCCTCAGACTCACAGGTACATTACACAGTGAGAGAGGGGAGGAAGCTGGTGCGAGCACACATATTTTGACCATTTTCCCCAATGACCGTGGCTTTGAGTCACTCAGTAAATTTTTACTGAGCACTTATTACGTGCTGGGCACCGGACCAGTTGTTGGGAGAATGGTGGTAAAGCAGAAAGATATGTTTCAGCTTGAGCTCGGAGCCTCGTGGGAAAGCCCAATCATAAATGATCTTGAAATTTCATTCTCCACCAAATGTTTGTCAGCAAACATGGGCCGGGCACTGGTGTAGATGCTTGAAGAAGGCAAGCAGAAAGAACTGCTCTTCTGGAGCTTTCATTCCGGGGCGGAGAGGGGAAAGGGGGAGGGAAGACAGGCAAATAAAGGATATAGTTTTTTTTAAAAAAAAATGTAGCCTGTTAAAAGGGGCTAAATGCTAAAGGACAAAAAGAAAACAGGGAAGGAGGATATGAGATGTTGGGTGGGGGTTGAATTTGCATTCAAGTGGCCTGGGAAGGCCTTCTAAGGTGTCTTTTGAATACAACTTTGAAGGAAGTGGTAAACTAATCATTTCAAACAGTGATGAGCACAAGGAAGGAAAGATGAAGAGAGTGGTAAGAGTAATGGGCCTTGATTTGATTTGGGGGCTTAGGGAAGGCTTCCCTGAGGAAGTGACGTCTGGGGTGAGACCCGAAGGAGGGTTAAGAGTTAACCATGTGTGGAGCTGCACGGAGCTTGGCAAGTTGGAGGAAGTGAAACAGGCCTGTGTGGCTGGAGGGGGAGAAGGGAGGTAAGTCTGTAGAGAGGTGAGTTAGATCACAGGGGGCCCTGGGGACAGAATGCCTGCCCCCTCTAACTTTGGTTTGTATCCTCAGTGAAATTAGGAACCTTTGAAGGGTTTTAAGTGATTGACATGATGACATTTACATTTTAAAAGGTCTCTGGCCTCTGTCTGAGGAATGGACTTTGAGATAAGCAGGCAAGGCGAGGCTTTCTGTGTTGAGGGCCTAACTATTTGATCTGCTTCAGAAAAGCGGAAAGCTTTTAGAGCAGTTTAGGGACGATCCTTTAACTCAGAGCCTACTTTGTGCAGCTTTTAGGAAGGGAAAGGAACACGAATTAGCATTTACGGAGCGCCTGCTAGACGGGAGAAACAATTTGGGAGACTTTGGCAAACATGTTTGACTCAATCTTCTCTGCAGTTTGAGAGGAAGGGCTTGTCCTGCCCCTTTTAACAGATACAAGGGCAGAAGGGATGGGAAACAAGCCCTGAGGGGTTAGATGACTTATCCAAAAAGCACATTTGTAACATAATCTGAATTCAAACCCAGGTCTTCCTGATCCCAGAGCCCGCTGGCCCTGGAACCAGACTACCGGTTGCTTCTGCCACTTGCTGAGGGAATGATTTTGAGTTTGATCTCTTATGTGCCTCAGTTTCCTCCTCGAAAAGGCCTCAAGCTCTACCCAGCTTAAATGCAGATGAAAGTAGCTACCTCACGGGACTGTTGTGTGTATCAAATTAACCAAGCCATAGTGCTTACCTCCAACGTTAGGTGCTATGATTACTTAAATCTTTAAAACTTCCATGCTGCCTCTTAAGCATATTGTGGTCATTTTGGATGAGATCAAATATATGGATAATTAGACTCTTTTTTCCCTCCCTTTTTCTCTAAATAATGCCAGTGTTCCATGTGATCAATCTTTCAACATTGATCTCCGGTTTCTCGTTCTTGACACGTGCTAGGACTTATGGATACAAAGCGAGTTTCTTCCCTTCAGAAGTTCAGCATATCCAGGAGGAGGTCAGATATTGAAACAGTTGAGGTACAATGTACTTAACAAGTTCTCTAACCTAGAGAGCTGTTAAGAGCTGTAAGAACTAAATGCCTGGGGGAGTAGAGAAGGCTTCAGGGCGGAAGTGACTTTTGAAATGGGCTTCGGAGGAAGAATAGGAGTTTTATAGGCAAGTGAGACTGGCCAAAGGACATTCTAGGTAGAGAGCTATGTGTGAGAGCATGGAGCTGGGAGAGGATTGGCTTGTTTGGGTAGGCTTGTTTTGGAGCTGTGAAAGGCGGGTCAAGTTTGGATTTTATCCTACAAGCTGTGGAGGGTATTAGATGAGTATTAGATACATCAGAGAATATTAGAAATATCAAATACACACCATGACGGGTGTTGGAGTTAGAGAGTGGAGACAGATGTCATCCTGGGGGTGGCTTTATTTTGGTGGGATCACTATGTTTCAGAATCTGCCTCTCAGTTGTGTAGACCTGAAATTCAGTTTTGTAAGGCACTTGGAGCTGATTGGATCCAGGCAGACTGACTCACTAACCAAACTTGGAAGAGACTGATGCATAAACTCAGGGTATTAACTGGCCATGAGAAATGAAACTGCAGAATGACAGATGTTCTGTCCTCTGGCCATCTCCCCCCACACCCCCCACTCCTGGCCAGGGCTGGGATATATTAACAAACTCTTGCTCCTCAATTCCTGTCTGTTTTTCTCAGGCCTCTGAAAACTCATCCTTTTTGTTAACATAACCTTTACTTAAAAGTTCTATACAGTGTGGCCAACCGTGATTATTCATTGATAGAATGGATGATTCTGTATCCTGTGGGTTGGATCATATGTTTGTGAATCTTCAGGAAGAGGAGGAATAACCTTTTTAGAAATAAAGTTCTGGAAAAGGGGGTTCCTCAGAATCGGTGTGCGGATTGTAAGTGGTGGCGCAGTTTTCAAGCCAGCGGGTGGCTATGGACAGATGCGTTGGAAATCGTTCTGGGGGCCAAGGCCTCTGAACTCTTGGAGGGGGTGGGGAGCTCCCGGTTGCACTGGAAGGAGAGATTGGTTTAGAATTTTCATCTTCCTTTCCCATCTTCATTTTCATTTTCATCTTGGAGGCGGAAAAGAAAGAGGTAGCAGCCGCCCTCTACTCAGCCTGGTCATAGTAAGCTTTCCTACTAGGCTGGAATCTTCGTGGGGTTTGGGCTTTGTCCGAACCCTTCCCTCTACTTGTGCCAAACTGGGATAAGTGGTGGATCTTCCAGAGTTTTGAATCTGTTTTTCTGCAGTGCAAAATAAAATCCAAATAGACCAACCTAGATTGTGGACTAATTATTTTAATTTTAAAACTCTAAAAACAATTATACAAGAACTTTCTTTTTTTTCTTTCATAGTTTATTGTCAAGTTGGTTTCCATATAACACCCAGTGCTCATCCCAACAAGTGCCCTCCTCCATGCCCTTCACCCCCCCTCCCCTACACAAGAACTTTCATGTAGAAATTTTAGGGGATGCAGGTATACAAAGGAAATAGAACTAACTGATAAATCCTATAACCTAGAGCTACTGTTAACATTTTAATAATTTAGTGTTTGTATTAGATCTTAATCTCTAGCTCTGTCTTTCTGTGTAAGTTGGTTTCAACTTTTTCTTTTGCTACAAAAATAGGAACATCCTGATTAGGAGAGAATTCTGAGTGTTGACATCCATGAGGTGGGGCGATTGCATGAACACAGAAATCTGTGTCTGTTTCCATTTCTGGGCATCTGGTCCAGGGTTCTCCCCGTTCATGTTCTAGGGGTGTCAGATGTGAGATCCATTAGCTAATTAATTTTGAGAAATGTTTTAGGAGATGAGAATGTTACCTCAGCCAACTATTCACATTTATTTGAAGTGGTGTGTGTGTGTGTGTGTGTGTGTGTGTGTTGAGATTACACATATCTGATCCTTTTTATAACTCAAAGAAAAGTTAATGAACACTTTTCAAGTTTGGTGTCATCACAAAGTCATTCTTCAAACCCATCAGCACTCTTGGGCTCTCCCCTGTTCATTGTGTGACTTTGGGTAGGTCC